TGCCCCCCGCCGTCGTCGTCGCTGTATGAAATTAATTCACGACAAATGTGACGTCGCCGCGTTGCTTGTTTGCGCGTAGCCAACGGGTGCCTCTCCCATTCCGCAGCCGTCGCCAGGACATCAGTCACATTTCGCGTCGCGGCCTTTTAATCGAATGGCGCAGCGAACGAGAAAAGGGGAAGGGACGCGTTTCGGATCGGCCGTTCTCGTGCCGTCAGTTTCATTTATTCACAAAGCAACTACATCTCGTGAAATAGTGCTACGGCCACTGCTGCGCGTGACGCGCGTCTCACGCGTACATAATATACGCGTATACACATCGAACTGCTCGCACACCCAAACAGGGGAGGACGAAGAATTCCCTATGGAAACTTATCGCGCGAGTCCTTTGGGTTGTTTAACTTTTCAACCCACCCGTGTCCCGCTGTCTTATCGCGACAAACTTTTTATGCTCTCTTCCCTCTTTTTTTTCTTTTTTTTTCGGCATGTAACTTCTTAATTTATTTCCCTACGGCTGCCTCGATCGTGCGCCGCCATATTGCAAGCTTTTTTCCAGCACGTGCGCAGCTTCGTGATTTTGCTCCTATTGCGCGTGTGATGTACGACGGTATAATGGTCTCCGGGAGGCCGAGTTTTCCGCGGCAAAATGAAACACAAGTGCACGGCCGATGACGGGCATAATGTATTCATGAAAGAGGACGAAAGTTTATTATTGCTTATTTATTCAAAGGCAGTGCAATTAGGTTGAGGCTGCGCAAAACGAATTTATTTTCACTTGTCGAAAAGCCCAGCGAGCGTTGGACGGAAGAACGAGGGCTTCATTCGTTCGCACGAAAGGCAATTGCAAGCGTTTTTCACGGTGACCTGGAAAGCTCAATCAAACGCGATAAAGAGGAGAGAGGGGTAAGCAATTGTTTCTGCGAAACAAAAGTAAAATTTTCTACATGGCGCTGCGAAACAGCGTGGAGGCTATTCTGTAAGTCGACAGCAAAATTATAGTCTCCAATTCGATAAGACTTTCTGTTCGCGCTCGCGAGATCACAAAAATAAAATTACCCAGTTTGGATTCCGAAAAAAATAAAACAACAAGGTGGCCGCACCTTCGTCGAAAATTTATTTTCGTCGTACGTGCTACGCGTTTCAGTGCACGTTGAAACTGTACATTTTTCCTACGTTTTTGTCTTTGATAAGACTAAATACAGTTTAGAAATAAGAGCCATGAATGCGACAGCAATCGTTTCAATTTGTAAAATAAGAGAGTTTTTCGCCTCCAATTCTTTGACGCTGTGGTGTGAATAATTTTGATAGAACTTATTTTGGGTTGATTGATAAAATTGATAAACATTTCTCGACAGAAACAACGAAAAGATATTGATACTTGGACAAAAATTTATTTCGTTCGTTGAGGTTCAATTTGTCATTTTTGAGACTGCGTCAATAAAACCTGCTATTTCAAATAGTACAACGGAACATTTCATTCTATGTCATTTTTGATGGGATTATAGAAATTTATTCTTGGTAATAATTCAAACGTCGCATTCGAAAGATAATGTCCAACATCATGATTTCAGCTTATCAAATTTAACCATAAATAAGTGGCATCCGTCTCCGAAAGCCAAATCTCTGTCGTCGGTCGTTCATTAGAGCAACAAATCAAGCTTGTATATGTATTTGCGGCGTGTGCGTCTCCCTCCCTACGTTCGGTTTGTTAGCGAAAAAAGAAAAGCAACCGACCATGCGAGAGCAACAAGTCGGAGCTCCATGCCAACTGGCAAAGAGAGAATCTCTGATTGAGAGAGGATCGTCGCCGTCGCGCCCGCGGGAAACTTTTATCGCCGATGCTCTCTCTCTCTCTCTCTCTCTCTCTCTCTCTCTCTCTCTCTCTCTCTCTCTCTCTCTCTCTCTCTCTCTCTCTCTCTCTCTCTCACTCTCAGCGGGGTAATCGATGTCGTAATTGTTGAGCCGCTATTCTGTTGTGGGAAAAAGTCCGGGACACGAAAAATCGAAGAGTTTTATATTATCATATTCAAGTTATTCAAGTCGCGTGATAAAGAGTTATTGGCCTTTGAAGAAAAGGAAGAATTTTTTTTTCACTTTTACGACGCTGCGTTTCCCAACAGATTAAATGTTTATCGAACTTCGTTCCAAAGAAAAGTTTCTTCAATATCTTCTTTTTAGCAGCCGGAATGAAGAAAAAAGAAAATACTTTGTATTGTCGTGGTCCTTTACAAAGTTATGAGTGACCCTCCGATGAAAACAATAAAATATAGCAAAAACATGCATTTATAAGAGACTAGGTTTATTTCAAATATACACACGTGTACTTGGTTCGATGCTCCCGTAGCAGTCAGAGAAGAGCAAATTGGAAATTACTATAAACAATTTTGTTCTTTTTTCACTTTCCCACGATATAATCATGACGAAACCAAAAAGTGCTCGCATCCCACGAAATTACAGAAATTTTGCGAGCACATTCTTCCTAGAATGTTCATTTTCTTCATCATTTACCGCACGGTCCCTCTGGTAATTTACAACTTATCAGTATAATTTGTACGAAACTAGGTAATTGGCCTCTTAAGAGTCGGCATACATCGAACAGAGGTTACGCGTTAATTTTCTTGGTCTGCTCCCGTCCCGCGGGCATTTTTCTCGCGCTTACCATTGAAAACGAGCCTCGCATACGAAAGTCATTAACTGCAATTTAACAAAGCTACGTAATGTATATGTCACACGGAATCGAAATAACGAAAAAACTCTTATCTCTGTTTCAGGTGAGTAACCTAATTGGTTTTGGCCGAATCAAAGGGAGCTGCATAGAGCGTAAGTCGTTCCAATTTCCATGCGCAAAGGAAGGAAAGAGAAAACGAGACTTCCCTCGTTACGCGCCGGCGTAACAATGCACCGGAGAGAATACAGTTATACGACGAGTCCCTTTCTCGTGATTGCCACATTATGCGAGTAATTTTACACGCTCGGGCCGGGCATCTGTTTCGCCCGAGTGCCGTGTTTATTTGCTCGCTGAGCGGCTGCGATTCTTTTACTTTTTCTCGTCGCGACGACTCTACTTTAGCACCGAGGGCGGTGTCCTAGCGTCCTCGGGCCAATAGAACCGAGAAAGCCCGAGTACTTTTCGTTACGCGAACAATTAATTTATGCCGATCGGCCTCCTGGCCGCAATCGCAATCAATTCCGTCCTAAAATAGCTCGCCATAGCGTCTCCTTTGATTAATTAGCCGCCAAAATGTAATCAATACGCGAGGCTTTATTAGCCAGCGCGGCGGGGACATTATAACTAAAATTGAAATCAAGACGTATATACGTGACAGGCCGCCTCGATGTATAATTAATTAACTAGGCGCACGTATAGCCGTGCGCGAGCACATCAAACGAACACATTTTTTTCTCCGCCTCGGAAGTCGAACTGCACGCGAAATCATTAATCACGCGTGTAACGACTTCCGTACGTGCGCGCGCTCTACGATATTAATGTGTCGTGCGACGCTAATGCAATAATCGCGTGGCTGTGGCCGCCGACGTAACTGTAAAATCCGCCTGCAGACTCTCTCTTATATTCCATTGTGTTACATACGTATGATGGACTGATCTTCCTAAAGCGCCATTCTTCTTATGGGTGGTCGACGTTTGTATTTAAATTGCCAATTTTTCGCTGTACCGCCTTCGCGACGACGGCGATGATAAACTTATGTGTATAACGGCCTTTGATATCGCAACGCGCCTTTGATAAAAGCTTTATGCTGGAATCGTAAAACAACGCAAAAACGAGAAGATGCTTCTTATCGCGGATTGTTTATGTACTTTTCGAATGCAGTATCTTTGTACGTATCAGGAATTGCGGTCCCTTCGGATAAGACACCTTCTTCTTTTTCTTCGAGTTATTATCACTTGGGTCATTGCGTTTAATCACGTCACGCGGTAGCTCTTAAATCTGCTTTTTCAAAGACGCATTGGTAATTACGTGCACTGCTTAGAAATGCGAGATAAGTTCAAAAAACAGAGATCTGTGAGTTTCTTGTTACGAAACCGATCGACAGAAATCTCCCGTTTACCGAAACAAAAAATGCCGCTAATTCCCTTTTACTGCAGCGCGGAGGAGGCCCCGTGCAATTACGAAGATGTAGAGCATCGGAGTGTTTTCTCACGTGTCGGGCGGGGGGGGGGGGGCGTTTGGACGCCGCTCGTTTCACAAAAGAAAACGAGGCAGATCTCACAACGCGATACGTTCGCCACTCTCGCGTGAAAACGGTCGAACACGCGCGTCGCTACAATCGGATCGGACAAGTAGCAAGTATCAGGTGCACAGAGCACCGTTAGCGATGATTTACGCGTGAATCGGCGGACGCTTTTATAATTAGGAGTAATTCAAGTTTTCCGAAGCCACACCGCAAGCGACAATTTTCATTTTCTTTTTTTTTTTCCACGATGGATATTCTCTTACGCGGAGATAAAGGGGCAAGGTGAATTTTCTGGCTCCGAGCTTGAAAAAGAATATTTTCTTTTTGGATATGTCACGAGAAACTCGGCTTCGTACTAAATCATTCAAAGGTTTCCGCCGCGCCATTCGAAAAAAGTTCGCGCGACACGCTCTTTACCGACGAACAGAGGGACAAATACAGCCAGACTCGCGCGGCTTATTGCAAGCTTCAACGGCAGATTAACGGTGGGTGGGCGCCTTGAAAAATATGCCCGATGGCGTTCAATTAGCGCGCGCAACTTTGTTGCAAACTGGCGCTCTGGTCTTGCTACCGCGACCAGCTCGAACGATCGAGGGAAGGAAAGTCGCGCGTTCTTGTTCGAAAAAGAAAAAAGGGGGAAAACTCGTGCCCATCTCTCGAGTGAACAAGTCGAAGAGAGGTAACAAAGTCCCGCGGAGCTTTTGTCGCGCGCGCGCGCAGAGGAGTAACCCCACCACAGAGCCGCGCAGTCAACCCTCGTGCGCCGCGTTCGGTCGGTTCAGAGTCAGTCGGTCCGGCTCCGCGAGCGCGAATATACGTCGCGTTTCACAACTGCTCTGCCTCTCTCGTGAGCTGTTCGTCTCTCTCTCTCTCTCTCTCTCTCTCTCACTCTCTCTCCCCTTCTCTGGCTTTCGTTTCCTCCGGCTGAGCAGACAAGTGTCCAAGCTGTTTTGCCTCACGCTATTCTACATGCGCGAGTGCCGGAGGTCCGCCACCGCTGCAGTCGCTTATAGGGAAGACATTTACCAGACCAGATGAGTAAGGACGTTTTCCCTTCTTTTTTCTTTGTGTCTGTTTTTTTTCTTACCAATGGAGTGTGCGTGCACTGGAGAATTTGGCGGATAACAACGCCGACAGTTCAACTTTGTTCAACGAGACTCGCTTCACATTTAGAGCACTTAACTTTCAATTGGAGCGTTGATTTATGCGCGATAAGACGAAGATTGGGAGAAGCTTCATCAAGGATTTCTCAAAGATAAGTCGCTGCCGTCCTGACTCCACAGAGAGATTAATTTACTTGGCCTAATAGACAGAGAGAGAGAGAGAGAGAGAGAGAGAGAGAGAGAGAGAGAGAGAGAGAGAGAGAGAGAGAGAGAGAGAGAGAGAGAGAGAGAATAAATTAATGAAGTCAGTTATAATTTCTGTTTTGAACGATCGTTTCCATGAATATTAATAATCTTTCTTCTCCAGTACACGCACATACGCATTGCGAACGACAATAACCTTTTATTTTTCTTTATACTATCCTGCTCCGAGGCTGACACCGCTGTGATGACGTTTTCCTTCCTGTCCGTTGTTTTCTCTAGTCTCTTACCGTCTCTTTTTACGACTCTTCTGAGTGAAAATGAGCGTCGCTGAATTTTTCAGAGCCCCAACTATATTTAGTTGTCAGTTGTGCATCTCTATAATTGGACGACTCCAGAGAGAATTTTAGTATATATACATTCGGAATGCGGGAGAATCAATAAGGTCGTTCACCGAATAAAAAACATTGTCGCACGTACGATTGGCACGATTTTGCGATTGAGATTCATTGATCGGCGAAGTTACTTTTGCGCGCGGCATGACGATCTCGGTTATGAGGCGGATAGTTGTATTAGTCATGCTTTTCTACTCGTTTGACGTCTTATGACATTTGCTCAACTTTTCAAAAAGAACTTAACCATTTTGGTTCTATTACTTCTCCCGCCACCGCCGCCAAAAAAAAAAAATATATCTCACCCAGTCGCAATCTTTTGTAATAACTAAAATCTCCTCCCGCTCATCAAAATCAAATCCGGCTATACGCGTACTCTCGATTAAATTTAATCCTACCGCTCGCCTTCCCGCTCCCAGACTAAAGCTTCGTCGCTCGACGGCGGCTGGCGACAATAACATTATGTCATCGCGCGCTCCATTAGGCTTTGACGGCAAGCGCACATGCATCAACAATCGCGCGCGCGCAATGTTGCGACTGGCAGACCCATTAATCCGTACTGACCACAGCGAATAATAAAAGGGAGCGAGAGGGGACACCGCAAGAGCCTTTGGACTATGCCACTCATCGATAGACGTATATACGTAAGCATCGCCGCTCAAACTCATTTCATTGGCTCAAATAATGCGTCTCCGCACCTTCACAAGTCCAATTTCCTAAGTTTTTTTCTTCGACGCGAAAATTCTTTTTAATCCATCCAGCTTACGATAAGCGACGATGAGGCAAGTCGTTAGCGGAAGACGAATACCCCGAGCGGGCACTTTTTTACCAGGGCAAACTGATCGATTGGCGTTGAGCTTCAATACTTTTTTGCGTTGTACTTACAGCCGGGAAAATTACAAAGTAATATCCTGATGGTAAACCATTTTTCAATTTACACGATGGCGTGGCAATTAATTTGCGAGTCACTTTTTTCACAAGGGAAAAAATTGAAATTTACGCTGCAATCGTATATCCATCCATAACCAAGTGAATTTAAAGATAAGTATTTAGCTTGTATCCGAACCCTTCAATGTTTTTCTTTATTTCAATCGTACAGGAAACGCATCTCACTCTTCAGAGAATACCGTGACGCTCGTCAGCCTATTTCCACATCGGATATAAATAAAAGCACGCGCAGCGGCGCCGAATGCATATACATCGAAATCGTCAGTCTCGCGCGTATAATTTAATTAGATAGAGTGGCGTTCGAGCTTTACGTGGACGCGACTCTGTGTCTCGATGGCGTGCTCGATATAACGAGGCCGAATGAGCCGTGAAAACCAATCGCTGATGACTCTCAACGAACTCTTTCATTCATAAGAAAACTTCATTTTTTTCCCCTCCGGCAACTGAAAGTTACCGTGGCATAATCTTTGAATCTTGTTAAGAAATCTTTCGCCTGTAACAATACCTCCGAGACAAACCATGAAATTTTCATTCGAGAGAGAGTTTTGATTTTCTTGTAGCTTGCCTCCCCGGAAACTTTAAGAAACACGACAAGGCAAAGAGAGCGGAATTTAATTAACCTCGAAAATTTCTCACTTACCAGCGCACCCAACTATACTATGAAACTCCCCGCGCGGATTAAGTATACGTAATATCGCGCCGCGTTGCGTGACTTTGAAAAGCCTACGAGCGTAGCGATAATCTTCGCACAGGCTCGTTGTCCGAGTAATCAGTCGAAACGCAGTGGCAGCTGCACTGCCACATTGGCTCGATAAATTCAATGGGCACGCTACACCGACTTGCGCGCGTTTTTGCCTCGTTCACACCCGACCTCCCCTTAAAAGCTTATCAACTGGTCGCGTACAGATGCACGCGTGTGTCGGTCGCGTACAGAACGAGCTTGTTACGTTTTCATGAAGATTGCGCGCTAGTGTAGCTTGTGATCGATAGTTTGACTCGATTCAGTGGAAATCCCTTTCACTGATGGTCAGTGCGCGAAGGTTGCAAAGAATGCTGGATTCAGATGAAATTTCGTTGCTGACGGGGTAGAATGGTTATTGAATTCCCAAGCGACATTTCGATATTGGATTCAGTGAAATTATCAATTTGCTTCAGAAATCAATCGACATGCAGATGGATAAGTACGACTTTGTGTTGGATATTACATTTGACGTTTCGTATCGGAGCTTGCAATGACAATTGAAAACTTAAATATTATTTGCTTTGAACACTCGCTGGTACCGCAATATTGCTGGCACATTATTCGGATTACGCAGCGCTCACGGAGCATTTAATGGTCGATGTCAGAACGTACGCTGGAACTAAACATTTTTTGACCATGCGTTTGTGATACCCCCTCTCCCCATCCCCTAGCAACTTTACTTTCCTCGTGGGAAAATTGAAATGAAAAATCCGGGATTAATCATGGAAAGCCACAGTGTCATTGTTGATTAAATCAACCGGCGGATTGGCTGGGGGTGATGCGTAATAAACGGGGTGTCGTTAAAACGACTTGGCGAACGTCGAACGAAACTACAGAAAAAAACATTGTTGCTAGGAAATCTAAAATTTAATTAAAACGTCAGACCTACACACGTGCACGCGCAGTTTGATATAATCGAGAAGCAAATTAACGGCTTCATTAAAGGTAGCTAAAGCGAAGGTAAATCAAACGAAATCCCAAGTAGAGCGTAATTAAACGCCACGCGCACCGCGCGGGCAAGAAAACGCGTCCAGTGAATAATGAAGGTGACGCCTTTTGCTCGGAGGACCTCCTCTTCTCGCGCGCGCGCAATTGGATTTATTTTTCAATTTGCTCGCGCAAGCTTCTGTGTAGGTGGCTATGCTACCGCTCCGACTCTCGAACCGGATTGTTCCTGTTCTCGACATAAGTTGCGGGGAAAGTACTTGGTTTTGCTGGCAATTCGAATGGCTCGAGTACAAAGTTTTGATGAGTCGAGGAATAATAATTAAAGGTCTTTGAATGCTGTTGCGAGCATCACTCGGATTCCTCTCAATATCACAGTGCGCCCCGAACTCGGGAAAAGGAAATCCGCGACAAACCGAAGCATCGCTTCAATTGACTGTCTCGTCAGGTCGATTGAACTGCAGCTGTCATGGAACAATTCTGCCCCCCCCCCCCGCCCGCCCGCCGTTACCATAACTCACGCGAATTGCAACGTTTATTCGACCCTGTAACAGGAAAACTTTTGTTGGAATCGATGCGATGCCTTTCCATCTCGATAACCATGTTGCCAGCGCATAAATATTCGGCTAGAGGATAGCTGCTACGACGAGCGCATAAGTAATATATCCGAAAATCCCGCGTGCCTATAATAACGATCTCATAAATTTCAAGCGCCTCTAGTTCACCACCCCGGCCATCGTCACCTTCGGCTCGTAAAACGCGAGCACGCTCCCGGCGAAATTGATTGCGCGCGTGTTACTTTATTATCGTCCATCGTATGTATATGCGCGGCAGCGCGGCGGGAGAAAAAAAGTATCCTGCGACACGCCTTTGTGTCAGCGCGTGCGGACAAAAGAACTTTCTGCTTGCGATTTTCATCACCCGAAAATGCCAAAATTTTCCGGTATATACATTTTTTTTTCAAACGGTGGTATTATTTATGATTCTTTATTTGTTTTAATCGGTGCAGCGCTCGTGCTGCTATAAGTAAGTCGAACATTCACGTTATGTATTGAAAATAAAACAATGACCTTTATGATTCTGAACAAACAAGTCACTCCGTCTGTTAAAAATTTGTGTAAACTTCTTTGAAAAGGTTTTGCGTTAGTGACAATATAATCGCCAAAAAAATCCAGATTCTTAGCTTTATACAAACTCAGAGACTTGTTTTTATGTTAGCATAGCAGCAATCCCGTAGCATATCGAAAATTGAAATTTTTGCATAACGCACTCGACTGTGTCGAAAATGTCGAAAGCACAAAGGGCTTTTGGAAATACATAAACAATAATGTTCACAACGCGTGCACGCACGATAAATCAAGCAGCGATTTCAAAGTTGAAAGCATGGATATTCGCATACTCCCATCGTATCGACGCAGTTGAGTTGACTTACGCTGAAATGACATTGCAGTAGCCCCCCAAAAAAGACTGGCTGTGTAACCGATACTGGTCCGAACGACACAATCGCGACAAGATTAGTCGCTCGTTACCAGTACCGAACAAACTATTTACGGCTTGCTCCGCGAGCTTTTAATCCTTTGCCCGTCGCGTCCGTGTGCACTTGCCCGGGAAGAAATACGCAGGCCCGTTTCAAATTTTTCAATGGCATTTAACGAGCCGTGACGCTTAAATCACCGAAGTAAATTAAATGAAACAAAAAGAATCGTT